TTTTTATCACGTCTGTTATTCATTCAACATCTCTCTGTTTCGCTTGGCGAACATTGTTTTTTTTGTAATTTCCTTTCTTCTGTTCTAGACAAGTTAACATCAATCACAGTAGAAGAAGAAAAATACTGATAGGAACATTGTTCAAAAGAGTGTTGATTGGTATAGAACGCATTCATTTCACTTTTGCTTTATCTGTGCACATTGTGTTCAAAGGTTATTTCAAGTAACATTAAAATATAAATATTTGGAAATTTAACGGTGTGTGGATATGGGATGTAGGAGCAGAGGAAATCCTAATGACACAACACAAGCACCAACACACCCGCACTCGAATATGTAATTTAATGTATTCTTTCTAATGACAACATTTTCAACTTGAAATTGGATGTCTGGTAAAGCACTTTTGCTTTGACCACTATACTGCAGAGCAAATTAACGTATTTTAGACTAACATTCGACGGTTTTCAAGCAGAATAATCTACGTTTCATTTCACACAAATGTGATATTGGAAATCAGCGCAAAAATCTGAGTCGATGTGTGTACCTTTTATGTTGTGTCTTTGACTTTCGTTTTTCTGTGAAATATTGACCCGTGGTCCCTTCAATGACTGACAAAAAAATTAACTTCGTCAAAACAAATGTTCAAATATCTAGAAATCACCACTTTCGTATTCAGGGTGTATTTTGTAAGTCCCGAGCTGTATTTCCACTGTCGAAATGGTTTTTTGATGAAGTTCATTTTTTTCGTCTATCTCTGAGAGGGAGGGCCAAGGGTAAAAATTCGAGAGAAAAACGAAACTCGTAGAAACATTTCGAAACCTATATAAGTCTACTCAGTTTTTTATGCTGATTCCAAACATCACATTTGTTTGAAATCACACTGGAATTCTTCTGCTCGAAAACCGTCGAATATCAGTGACAAAAGGCGCAACTTGACTCCCTAGTATAGTAGTTAGAGAAAAGTGCTTTAATAGGCATTGAATTTCAAATTGAAAAATGATTCCGTGACACAGATAACATTAAATTACATATTTGTTAAAAAAGAATTCCCTGGTACACCTTTAGAACCTATACTTTCATAGAACCGGTAGGATCATTATTGGTAACAAAAGTACCAAATCGGGGTGGTATTTGGCAGGTATCGCTAGAAAAAAATTGAATTTTCAAGAAGTCCGTATAGATTCTGATAGAGAAAGAGGTTTTACATCAAATGAATCTATTTTCGACGAATCTAAATCTAAATTTAGTGGCCAATCAGGTCAAAAACTGATTTTTCATGCTTTCAGAGTGCTTCTGATCTTTCTTGTCATCTTAGTCATTTTGAAAATGAATATTCTATTTGTAATCAGCAAACATAAAGGGCGTCCAAGAAGTTCTGTAACGATTTCGAAATTCATCGTTCTCACGTTCAACAAAAGTGAACTTCTTGGAACATTGGCAGATTATTGTATATATCAAGTACTACATAACTACAAAATATGAGGTCTATAGCTTTTACTATGGGTGAGAACCGGTAACAAGATTGCCGTGTACTATTTTTTTCAAAGTTCCTCTTCGTCTTGTTTGATTTTAAAAGCAATACAACTTTGAAAAATAAAAAAAAAACACAAATCAAGTTATCAGTGTTCCTGTTTTTTAATTATCATCTTGATCGATAAGTAGTTTTAATCGTACTGGTATTTTACCTGCCATCTGTTTACATAAAGAAATACTAAATTTGACCCACTCCTTTTTAATATTCTTTTTCAATTGTTCAATATTACTGTATTCTTGCGCTCCTAATTTCTCTTTGAACATCCCCCAGACGTTTTCAATAGACCAAATGTCTGCTAACTTTCAGCACAATTTATTAATTCAAGCCGATTGATAAAAGCATCTGTAACAGCATTCAAGATCACTTGAATCCTCCGTTGAAGATTTTGATCATCTTGAAAAATAACATTTTTTATGTCACCTAGTTGTTTAGCTGATTTTTTTGCTACAGCAGTTCGACTATGTACAGAAAAGAGAATATGATCGTACAGGAAATAATCTATCCTTTAACACTTATAGACTAAACAGACACTGGAAATAAAATTATTTCTACCATTTCTATAGCGAATTTCCGGTGCTGGAAAATCGGAAAAATAGTACAAGGCAATCTTGGTACTAATTCTCGCCCATAGTAAAGCTATAGACCTCAAACTTTGTAGTTATGTAGTACTTGATATATAAAATAATCTGCCAAAATTTTCCGAAGTTGGCTTTTGTTGAACCCGAGAACGACTAATTTTAAAATCGTTGCAGAACTTCTGGGGCACACTTTAGTGGTTTCGAACTATAAAAGACTTGTGATAGAAGGGCGGAGAAAGGTTTCTTTTCGATATCTGACGACTACCTCAGGTGTGAAAAATTGAGTTGTGATAAAATACAAAATAAATTTGTGAAAAACAGTCAGGTGTCAATTTTCATTCTTAAGCTGATAAAAATTAGTTTCAGATTGTTTGAGACATCTGAGTGTAATTTGGCACACCTTCTTTATTGAGCGATCGGCATCCACTGTTCACACTGATCAGATGAATTCGGTAGTCCCTAGTCGCCACCCATCGAGCAGTGATATTCAAAGGATAAAAATAAAATGAAATGGTGAGTCCCAAGATTGTTTAAAGATACTCTCGTCTGAGTGAAAACATTTTATTTTTATTTTATTTTATTTTTGATAAGCGCATCAATCGAAGTACCAGTATTTCCTTAATATAGAAAACTGATTGTGTCCATAAATTGGTAAGTATTAGCAAAAGTTCCAGTAAAATGCTTGAACTCGATCGTGGCAAGATCGAACTCGATCGGGTTCGAGTACCAATATTCAAGTTCAATCCAAACTCGAGTTTCCGATTTCAATTTCAAATCGAACTAAATCTTCCAAAGCTTGGTATCGAAACTGGAAATTAAACTCGGGTTTTGCATATGTCTACATACTTCTGAAAGAGGTTTATGAAAGGTTATGCAGATATCTTTTGAATGAATCCTTTTATAAACCTCTTTAGGGTATATGAAAAATATTTATGCCTTTTCATATACCTTTTTTGGTTTTAGGAAAGAGCTCAAGATTGGGTTTATAAAGTGATATCTGAAACTCAGTTATGCTTACTATGAAAGAAGAATAACTGTAACTCAACTGAGAGGAAAAACATTTGCAAGTAAAGTGTAGTTTAAATAAAGAAGCAAAACGCGCATCTTAGTGAGAAAGGAAGCAGCGTCTTTTTTACTTTTGGAATAGACAACAAAAAGAGCAATACTGTTTCTTATTCATCAATGTCACAAAAATGGTTTTATTATTAAAATGAAAAGAAAAGTAAATTCTGTTTCTCTACACTGCATATGTAAAAAGAAAATAAATTTCTCTATTAAAATTATGAAGGATGAGTGAATACTACCTCTCCTTAGCTACAAGAAAAAGAAGCAATGCCTAAAATAAATTAAATATAAACATTAAGTTTTTTGTCAATAACTCATTCATGTGTAGCAAACAGTTACCTCCATTACGGATAACGGAAATTTGTAAAATTTCTTTTTAGGGTGTGGGTGAGTGGGTGATATCAATATTTACACTCACATCCACTTGGCACACCCACACCCTCTTGGTATCATCTTTGCATAATCTTACACGCATGTCTTTTATAGGATTGTATACGCGTCTTGGTCATTCATGTCATTTTCTTCTTCTTGGCGAAGAACTCTCAACTATTTCGCTCAATCTCAAGGTAATCTTTTCTCAACGAATTCATTTGCATGATTTATTGACTCGTATATTTGCGATCATATTTATTTTATGTCGTATTATCTATGGAATAAATCAAGAAGACTCATTAATTTATCATTTTTGTATTACGCATATCATGGCATGCTGTTCTGTTGATATTCTTTAGAACTGTGATGAACGTGACTCAAAAGGTCGTATTTTGCTGATTACGCTACTGCATATGTTGGTTTTACGCTAAGTGCAAACTTTGACCGAGTTTTCCAAAATTCTACTTGATTCTGTCATCTTTTCAATAAAAAAAGCTTTCTTACATTTCATTCAGAAATAGATAGTTTGTGCTTTTGTCACTGAAGGTAATTGCTCTATTGGAATCTGTTCAATGTGCATGAGGTGTAGATGTGGATGTTCATAGTTGAGAAGATCACTTACATCCACACCCTTTTTTTTAGAAAAATGAATTTTATAACAAGTTGTGTCCTGAAAAATCGATGCATCATTTTATTTAAGAAAAGAAACAAAATGTGTAGAATATATTTTGTAACAGAATAATATTTATATCTTTGAATTTTAGAAGAATTTCATTGTTGAAATGAACGTATTAAATCTGAATGATATTTTTTACAGAAGAGAAGTCGAATATTCATTTTATTCGAACAGATTTTGTTGAAGGTAATAAATTCATCTTGAATTAGAAAAGTTTATAATTCGAAAAACACATTGTTGAGGATTCTACTAGACTAATTTTGATAAACTGATTTTACCAATTGAAATAATACTTTAAGATCTACTTGATTTTTGATAAAAACTTTGTAAAAGATTCTTTAGTAATTCAAAAGTATAATACCTCAACTTCATGACGAATTGTATACTGCATTTACTAATATTAACATTCAATTTTTTTCTAACCAACAATCATTCATCTTGTCATTAATCATTGACGAAGTTTATGTAGGATGTGAGTATCTTGTTCTATATTGATCCACACCCGCCTACACTCACACACCCAGACCCAGACCCACACCCTGTTTCCCTCTACCGAATAGATCTAGTCAAATGCAATGACGACGACAAGCCTATCAACGAAGTCATTGGCTTGTTTATCATCAAGTAGTATACAAAAACAAAATATGTGGTCGATACATTGGCGAGGGGTACATTATTCTTGTTCTGTTCATTCATCCATTAAAAAAATGTTTTTCTCCTTGTTTGCATCATTTGAATTTATTCTCGTGCAAGCATATTCGATCGACGATACACTATGGCTACTAATGTATCTCAATATGACAGCATTGCTGAGAAATACGTTGAAGGTCATCAAACGAATTTTCTCGAATCTGTCGAATGTTATACAGTTTATCATTGTTTACTCAAGCCATTATTAGATGAGCATGGATTATTAACAGGAAAACGTGTGCTCGATTTAGGATGTGGCCAAGGGCATCATACGCGACGATTGAAAGCTTTAAATTGTGATTATATTCTTGGCGTTGATATCAGCTCAGAAATGATTAAACTCGCTCTCGAGGCTGAAAATGAAAATCCAAAAGGTCTCAACTACATTGTTGCCGATGTGAAAAAGCTTCCACTACCTGAAAAACCTTACGATTTAGTTACCGCTTTCTATTTGCTCAATTTTGCTCGCACACGAGAAGATCTTCTTGAAATGGCACGTACTATCTATGCACAACTTGGTGAAAATAAACGATTTATCGGTGTGACGGCAAACGTTGTTGGAGGTAAAGATTCATTCGACAAACGAAAATATGGTGTTGTCAGACATGTTAACATTCCTTTGGATGAAGGTTTGATACCAGATGGGACAGAAGTATTCGTTACTTTGTACAACAAGAAAAACGAACCGACATGCACATTTACAACCTATTATCTCTCACCCAACACTCATGAACAAGTGTTTAAAGAAGTAGGCTTTAAAACTTTCGAATGGGTACATTATCAATGCGATCCCGATGTGCCCAATAAGGCATTCTACGACGATTTAATTAAATGCGCTAATGGAATTGGTGTAATAGCAACAAAATAACAATACTCATTTTCAAAGACTTTCATCTCTTGATTTCGGGGGTGTGGGTGTGGGTGGGTGCTGGTATTACTGGAAAGCACACCCACACCCACCCATAACTGGCCTCGTTTAGTTTTGATCTAGTGTCGAATAAATATCAATACTGCCAATACCATATTGATATTATTACATTTCTGCTCCCAATACTGTATTAATTATTTTCTCGATATTTTTAGTAAAGTTCGTCCTTTTCCTATCTTTATTCTGATCGTCTGACGCTTTAATTCTTCGGCGCTGATCTGTTCCGGGGAAGGATGCATATACATTTGCTCCTGATCCGTTTCTCATTATTTTGATTCTTAGTAATAAGTTCTGACGGTTTTCCATTATACTACTGGAAATATAAGGATTTTCAAGTAGGTTAAGCACTGGAACTAACGGTGAACCATTCACGGTTAGGAAAAAAATTAAAAGCTTATCAGTGTACGGAAATATACATGACTTCGTACGAAGTGTGGGTGTGGGTGTGGGTGTTGGTGTGGGTGTGGGCGTAGGTGTGGGTGTGGGTGTGGGTGTGGGCGTAGGTGTGGGTGTGGGTGAAGATCTCCCTTAATGAAGTAATTACACACTCACTTCTCATCCACCCACCCACACCCACACCCACACCCACACCCACACCCTTCATTTGAAAGAATCATCAATTACTAATCCAAGTGAGTGTTCTGAGCTAAGGGAACTGATATACTGAGAAAGCTTCAGCAAGGTAACCGATATGTGCACTTCGAAAATTCTGAGTAATTATACTGATCTAGGTACTGCATTGGGTATCCATAGCAGTATGCTTACTGAACAAGTACTTGTATGGGTACCCGCATCTGTAATTTTACTGATGAAAGCTCTACAGGTTACCTTAGATTTGTCGCGTTCTGTGTAGAACCTCTTCATTCATTGTTTTCTTTTGTACACAAAGTTTTATATAAATAACTCGACAAAACATAAGAAATTAATATTTTTTCATACTGATTTTTTCTAGATTATATCTTGACTATTTACTAGCGGCGAACATGCTGATCTCAATCGTCAATTGAGAAGGGACAGCCCTGAAGTGATCTGATGGAGATTCGACCAATTCAAGTTGAGTCACATCTTGAAATTTGACCTACCTGAGTTTTCAGAATCGGAAAAATTAAATTCAATAAAATCAAAAAAATGTCATAAATTTCCTTGAGAAAAACAAAAATGAAAAAAGTCAAAGGTTAAGTTCGATCATTAACCTACTAGAATTTTGGCAACACGGTACCGAAAAATACTGTGCAATAGTACCCAGTGGAGTACTCAATCAGTACTTTCAAGTATCCATTTACTAGATGCTTTTCAGCAGGGTACCCGATAAAGTACTTGAATATCAAACGGATCTTCGGACATACTAATACCAGAGTACTTTGCGGGCACTCTTGGCTCGGTACATTCACTAGAGAATAAATATGAATAAAATCAAAAGAAACAGAATAACTATTTCATAAAATCTTCATCGAAATGTTAAGCTGTTGTTATTTTATTTGCTCAGTAGAAAATAACAATTTTAATACCTATGTAGAATCTTCTTATTAATCCGTTGCTACCTAGTAGAATAAAAAGATAAGAATCAAATTCATGTACAATCCATTGTATCATCATAATGTTATTTGTACTACTTTATTTTATTGCTTTCGCTCAAGGACATACTGCCATTTTTCAATGTCCACCATCAAAAACATCAATCGAAAATTCTCTGTATGATACAAATATTCCTGGTCTTGTAGCAATCGTAGTTAATTCAACACATATTCTTTATGAACAAGCATTTGGTTACAATGCACCTCCAATATTCGAGGAACGTCAACCTATTGATTCTTCAAAGACAATATTTGTCTTAGCTTCTATATCGAAAACATTCATTGGAGTAGCTGCTATGCAACTTGTTGAATTACATGAACTTGATCTTGATAAAGACATTAATGAATATCTACCTTCGCATATGAAAGTTATTCATCCATTTTATCCAAATATTTCTATTACAATGCGACATGTACTTTCTCATACATCAGGCATTGGACCAAATGTTAATGAAGAACTAAAACTTTATGTACCCAACGATGATTTCACTAAAATAAATCTTAGTAGTACTATTTTATCATATTTAAATAATAAATCAAATTGGTTATCAACACCACCTGGAGCTGCAACTCTTCATTCAAATATTGGTGCTGGTTTAGCTGCAATAATTGTTGAACAAATAGCACAAATTTCATTTGAACAATATGTACAGGAAAAAATTCTTCAACCATTAGGTATTAGTAAAAATGATGCTGGTTATCGATTGAGTGATTTTGAAAATAGGAAAAAAAACTTAATAGAACATTATCTATTTAATGCATCTTGGCTTATGCATGCACAAAATTTGTTACCACAATTAAATATTAGACGAGTAAGTTGTTATATAACTAAAAGACGAAATATTTTGTCAGATATTATAAAACATCAGCAATTTAGAAGATAATACATCTTTTAAGAATATCAAAGAAGAGCACATATATAAAAAATATTATGATCTAAGGATTGAATTTGATCGAATTATTTTCATTATGAACTAACACTTAACTGATATACATTCACTGAAAAATCTTTTATATATTTATTTTAAATTACATCATTATTTTTGAAAACTTATAAAAAAAGAATTAGTAGCTAATCTTCTAACAACATTATATTTAAAGAAAACAATTATGAAATTGATTCTCTGTTGATATCCAAAGCTTTGCGGTGTTTCTCGATACTAAATCATTATTTTGTTCTCAATGAGTGTTTTTTTTTATTCTTGAAATGAGACTATTCTCATTTCTGCTTTTTTTTCATATGGATAAATGATAGTTCTATAAAGTGTTCTCGGACACAACAATACAATGAGTGAGTATGCTTGTATATAAATGCACATATAGAATAGTTTTTGAGGTATCCAAATGCATTTTATATAAAAGCGATTTCCAAATGTTGAACTTTCTTTTTTTTCTGTTTACTATGAATGATTGAGAAATCGTTATGTTTGTAATTGTTAACAGAACCATCGTTGCAGGTTGATAGCACATCTGGCTGGCTTTATATTCCTCGTTTTGGTGTACGTGATTATCCAACTTCTCTTCTTCGCATGTCAGCTCATTCATTGGCTAAGTATCTTCAATCGTTTCTCAACGATTTCTGGCCTCTTCTATTAAATTCATCATCTGCTAATGAACTAATTCGAATTAATCTAGATGATAATAAACAATATCCATCTGGTTTATCATGGCACTGGGAAACTGTTCATGGAAGACGCTTTGTTGGACATCGGGGTTCATTGCCTGGTGTTACTAATATAATGATGGTCAATGAAAAAAGAACGTTAGGTGTTATTATCCTATCAAATGGTGATATTGCAAAATTGGATGATTTAGCAAAAACAATTTTGGAAACAATAACAAATCTTATGATAACATTATTCAATTGTTTTGAATAAAAATTTTACTTCTATTCATTTGACATTACATAAAGTAATCTTATGCATTCATGTAGACTCGAATATATGTCAATAGAAAGCAATAACAATTGATTTCTTTTATTAATTTATGAATACTCAAAATAGATTTTATATTTAGCGATTTTCCTATAGAGAGAATTGAAGACTTCTTTCGAACTTTATTCATTTTCGTTCGAAAAGTAAGAAATATTCGAGCAATTGTATGAATATATACTAATATTATTATTTTAAATAGCAAGTGACATGTCTAAGGAAACGCACACAAAGTATCTATTAGAACCAACATATATCTAAAATAATAAAAGCATTAAAAATCATGTTATGAACCAGGGTTTCCGATTAGAGGGGGGAGCAGGAAGAAGCCCCCTTCCCAAAAAAAGAAAAAATCTCAGACTTTCTGCCAAAATTTTTGATGATACTTTCTGCGAATTTTTAAAGTTTACTTCGGTAGAAAACTTCTACAATTGCTAGATTCAAATTAAACCTAATATAATTTCTGAAATGTCTCGCAAAGTCCTTGTTATTTCTTTTAAATTTCTCGCAGAAAGTCGATGTTATTTGTTTGAAATTTCATGCAAAAAGTTGGTTTCATTTCTGCTGTTATATGTTGCTATCCTCTCTTTAGTGACATGTAATCACGTGTTCATCTTACATATAATGATGTTCCTTATCTTATTCATTTTTCTACTTCTACCAGTCGTGCGTTTCAATTCGCAGTTGTATTGGGTGGTGATGAGTAGAGAAAAGGGCGGGGAGAGGCAAAATAACAATATAAAAGATGGCACACAAATAACTGCTTCTTGATGTTCTTCCAAAAATAGTAGTTTTAAGTGCATTACTTCATAGATATAATAAATTGCGTTTGCTTTATACAAATTTTTTTTTCTAAAATGGCTTCTAAATCGGTATAACCAACTAGTAAAGAGATTTCTTGTCCGGTGTGTGCAAAAACGATGTTGCTCAAAAACTGGAAGGATCACTGCCGTGCAAAACACTCAATGTTAATATCAGAAGAAAAAATTAATAATCAATATGAACAACTCAAATCAAATATTTCCTCTACTTCATCAAAAGCAGCAAGCGCTACGTCACCTGGTGTAGTTACAAAAAAACATTTTCAATGAAAAATTTTGTTGTTACCAAACAAACACCTCCTCAGACTGGGAATATCAGTGATGTTCTATCTTCCGAAGATGCACAGTCTGCGGATAGCAATCAATCAAGTTTTGCCAATACATCTTTTAGTATTGAAGCACCCATATTAACTACTGATGCTGAAAATATGGAAACGAACAGAGGTATGAAAAATCGGCTCTTATTACATTTTTCAGGCTTATTTGACAACATTCATCCTTTTCAGTCGTTGATGAACCAAAAAGTCTTGATATCTGTTTATTAGCACCAAGAAGTACGAATGATTCTCAAGTAATGAATGATAGTGAAGTAGTTTCTCGTAAGCTGAATTGAAAATCACAACTTTTAGCTTCTTCTTTTCATCTTACTAATGCTTTTCCTTCAGAACACATGTCAAGTAAATGTGAAGACGACACTTCGTCTGATACAACAAATAGTGAGAGAGATGATACAGAAGATAGTGATTGTAATATTAATAAGACTGATGATGATAATATTGTTCAACACGAGCACATAGATATTAATCGTCCACCAATAATAACAAAATCTATAGCCGTTGTTCGTTTTATTAACAGTCAAGAACTATCTTCTGTTGATAAACAACGTGCTCAATATCCGAATATCAAATGATATTCGGAACAACATTCCAAAGAACAACAGCATAAAACGATTCATAAACTAAGTAAACAATATTTTGGTGATCATTGTTCCTGGTTGCGAGCAGTTTGTACAAATAATAAATAAGGGTTGTTATGTACAGTTTGTAGTGAATTCGCATCAGATCAAGCAAAAATCGAACGAAGTGGTGGTGCATTTATTGTTAGACCTTATTGGAAACTGAAACATAAATGCATTGAAGGTAATGCCTTACCATTACTGTAATTTTCTGTTCATGACATAATTGATGTCTTTTTGTTCATCATGCATTCGAGAGCATGAACAAAGTGATTTGCATCGACAATCAAAAGACCGGCGTATTATTGCGATAAATATTCGTGATAAAGGAAATGTTGTTGGTCAAAGTCGCTGTGTAAACATCAAGGGGGGAAAAGCGAGGCTCGTAGAGTGCGTACTCCAACTGTACTCTACCTGTACTCCAACTGTACTTCAACTCTACTTCAGTTGTACTCCAGTCTTATTTCATATCCAACTCCTTTAAACAAATATCTTGCAGTTCGTTTTTGACAGTATTCCAGTAATAGCTTATGTTCAACGGAAATAGTACGAAAAATTGATAGTTAACAGAAGTGAGTATTGTTCTGTGGTTATATTACTATCTTCAGCACAATTTAGCACTGTTAATTCTAATTTTGACTTATAATGGGATTTATTGCTGTGAGTTCCTTATATAAAATCCCATTTGGAAATAAAGTCCGAATATTATACTGCGTTTTTGATCTATAAAACTCGAAGGACAATCAAAGGCTCCAGTCCTATTTTGTCCCAAACTTACATAAAATGAATTTCGTTTTGGGTGTGAGTGTGTGGGTGTGGGTGTGGAGTGTGGGTGATGTGGGTGGGTGTGGGTATGGGCGTGGATGTGGGCGTGGGTATGGGTGTAGATCTTGATATCTTCTTGATACACATTGACACTTATATCCACACCCACACCCTAGGTATCAATGTACGATCTATATGGTTTTCTTTATTTTTCAATATGGATTTATCTTTTTCCATTAGTAATAATTATAGGAATTTATATTCGACTTTTAATATATATCAGGCAAAACCCATATCGTTCGGTTATCCATCAAAATATATTTGAACGACAAATACGAAAACGTGAATTTCGTATTTTTCGTCATATTATTATGCTTATCTTTAATCTTCTTTTCTTTCTTATTATTCAATTTAATCATGTAACAATACCGCTTTATATACAACGAATCTGTCTCATGTCTATTTCATTTCATCAGGATATTATAATGTTACTTTGCTTGATTGATAATCATCAGATTCGAAAGTGTTTGAAAAATGCAATTAGAATAGCAAAACAACGCATAAGACAACTATAATATATCAATTACTAAAATATTTTATATTTAAACAACTTTTTTCTTTACACAACATGAATAGATGAACATATGGAAATGTAGTAGAATTTCAAACTTGGTTTGTCACTCGAAATATTCTACAATAAATAGATTAATTTAGTTGAAGCCGTACTTTCGTTTATTTATTGAGAGGATCTAAAAAGAAAATGTTGATATTTTAATTCTTCTGACTTCTTATAGAAAAATAAAAGTAAAACAATAGATTACTTATGATTATCTAACAAGAAGAAAATGAGAACAGAAAGTATAACGTATTTTCTGCTACAAAGAACAATAAATGAAGCAGATTTACTCAAGTCTGTTTGAAAATATCCATTTATTTTCTAACGAATCATCTTTACTCGATGAGTTTATGATCACTTATTCAGTTTCAATATTGATTTTTTTAATGAACGAATTCAGATTTGTCAGATTTTAAAAGTACGATAAGAGGAAAAATTTATTATATTCATTTCTATTATTCTTCATTCAGTACGAAACAAAAACAAATCAAGATAATTCTTCGATTTAATAATGTCCTTCGCTTACAATCATTTCTGACTCATCAAAATCGATTGTTTGATATGTGTTTTTGATTATTTTAATATGTATTATGAATGATTAATACTGATATCCTGCTAACCTATTGTGTTACTTCCTCGAATAGATCGTACTTATTATTATTATTATTATTCTTTTTTTATCTGTATCAACTACTGGTGACAGAATCAGCATAAAACAGTTTATTGTCATGCTTTTGGTATACATAATTGAAAAGATGTCTGGTAATATTTTATAAGATGTGGCGATATTCCTCTAAAGATCAGCGTGATCCTCGTGCAGTCTGAGACTTTTGCAGTACACATCTTGTATTTCTGCACATAAAAATAGATGTTCACTTTTCCCGAGTTTTAAATTGTCTCTTCGCAGGGGACAATCTGGAGAAAACGCTGGTATATGTCTCTTTAGTCGATAAACTATTTTATGCTGATTCTGTCACCAGTAGTTGATACAGATAAAAAAAGAATAATAATAATAATAATAA